TCTGTCCTCGGTGTGTATGTGCGGGAGACGGGGTAGGGGGTGGGCAGAGGGTGGTTTGTTTTCAATTTTGCTCTGAAGTATTTCAGCCGTCCTGCTAGATAAGCGGTGAAGAACCTGTGGCCCTCAAGATGCTTTTGGGTTCCAACTCCCATCACTCCCCAGACCACTGGCCACGCTGGGACCTAAAAGTGTAGGAGGCTGCCTTATACCCAGACTGTTGGTCCATTCAGCTCAGTATTGTCTGCACGGACTGGCAGGAGCTTTCTGGGGGCTTCCTACAGGGAGTCTTTTTCCCCAGCCCTATCATTGGGGATTGAACCTAGGGGACATCTCCACGATAAGCAGATGCTCTGGGAGTTGGAGCTCAGCGTCTTGAGGGCTGCAGCTTCCATGCCGCTGTGTTTGACAATCTGTTCAAAACATAAACGGTCAACCCACAACACAAAGGGCTGTGTCACTCACCTGAGGCGACCGCTACCTTCTTGAACCCTCATCTTCCCCGGCCTCTTCCCTGTTAAGAGAAAACGAGAGAGGCCGCTGAAGAATTGCCAAAGGCTTCTCGCTGGTTTTCAGAGAATTATCCAAGCAGGGAGATCAGAGGCCTGACTTTTGTGCAGCTAACACACCTGAGAAACTGGAAGCCTTCCTTGTTTGGCTACCACAGTTCTCTGGCATCAAACAACACACTCTCTCTCAGCAACTCACCAGAGTCTTTTGCAAGACAGAAGTTTAGGGCAGACCCTTCTGTAGCTCGGAGTCCGCAAAGGATTTTCATCCCAGCTGGGAAGTCCAGCCTGCAGCTGAATTCAAAGACCAGCACTGACTTCCACAAGTGTCAATACATGTTAAAAAACCGGGTCTGCTGGGCTTATTAAAAAAAAGGAATTATTCTTCTGTTAGCACAATATAGACTCTCTAGTTAAAAGAGAATAGATTTATTCTCTGTATCAGTTTTATGATTTCTTTCAAGTGCAAAGGTCTTTTTTGGGGGGTGGTTAGGTTCTGAGTTGTTTTTCATGTGAATTCATTGCAGAAGACCATCAAACTCATATCTCATGGCTTGTATCCAAAGGTAGTCATAATTAGGGACGGAGGAGAAATTCGGTTCCGTTCAAATTTTACGGAGATTCTCTCTGATCTGCGCTTTCAAAAACAATATGCAAACTGAAATGCAGCTGTCCTTCGAAATTCACAGTTCTATGAATTTCACAACGCAGCTCTCCAATCAAATACAGTAATATGTATATTAGGAAAATGCGTGCACAGCACCGCATATGTTAGTGAAAATAAGTTATAAAATGTGTTTATCAGGCAAAGGTAAAGGTAAAGGGACCCCTGACCATTAGGTCCAGTCGTGGCCAACTCTGGGGTTGCGGCGCTCATCTCGCTTTATTGGCCGAGGGAGCCGGCGTACAGCTTCCGGGTCATGTGGCCAACATGACTAAGCCGCTTCTGGTGAACCAGAGCAGCGCACGGAAACGCTGTTTACCTTCCTGCAGGAGCGGTACCTATTTATCTACTTGCACTTTGACGTGCTTTCGAACTGCTAGGTTGGCAGGAGCAGGGACCGAGCAACGGGAGCTCACCCCGTCGTGGGGATTCGAACCGCCGACCTTCTGATCTGCAAGTCCTAGGCTCTGTGGTTTAACCCACAGCGCCACCTGTGTCCCTTATCAGACAAAATTGCATACAAAAACATGTATGTTAGGGAGGCATTTGCACTAAGATGCTGGTGAATTTTCCTGCAGACTTTTTAAAAAAAACAAATAAATTGCAAACTGATGCAGAAATCTGGAGAAGCAAAGACTGCAAGAAAGAGAAACAGAAATTAACAGACCCAGTCATCCCTAGTCCTGCTCAGAGTAGGTCCATTGAAATCACAGCTACTGTAGATCTACTCAATTCAATGGCCCTACACTGAGTAGATAGTTGGAGACAACCCAATGCCTTTATGGATCCTGGGAGATTAGTTTACAGATTTAGCACCATTTGTAAGAAGTTATTTGCATACTAATCCACAAAAACTGATGCTTTTCAGATGTTGCTCCCATGGGCAAGAGTCATGTACTTGGGAAACAGGAAGTGCAAAAAGCACTTCCTGCCATCATGGTTTAAAACTACTGTTGTTTGTGGATCATACTGGAGGAGAAATAAGCCACATGCTGATTGCAGACAAAATCTCTCTGCAACATTTTGTATTCCAGGGGAAGCCTTGCCAATTTTCCTTAACACCTCCGTCCTGCACTTGTTACCCAACTAGGTATATTTCATTTTGCACAAGGAAAGATGTTTTCTGCAATCAGCTGGATTCTTCCATTAAAAATGGCTTCTCCACCTCCCCAGCCACAAACAATGCTTTAATAACTGCCATATCCAGGAAATCACCATTCACGGAGTCATTTTCAGCCTCAAGCTCTTTTGGCGGACAGTGAACAAAATCGTGGCCAATTTTCATCAGGTGGCTCTGCGGAGATCATTTTCTGTTGTGTTCCAGAAAGCACTTGAAAAGGCAATATCTGGCACTTTGAATCGATGAGCTGTTTGGAGAAAGCGCTTCAGAGGCACATTGAGATACCTCTCGTGTGTTTTCCCATCGTTGCTTATTGCCGGTGGGAAAAAGCAGAAAGGGGGTATTTGCAGACAGCTGCCTGTTGTAGACTTTGCATCGCAGTCCCCTGTTTAAACAAAAGAAAGCATTTTCACATACACCCACCCAAGGCTTTCAGGGACGTTTTTCACACGGTCTGCATCATCAACGTGACTCTTCCGCATAGGGCAAAATAAATATTTCCACCACACTTCTATGGTGATGGTGTGCCGGATAACTTCCCTCCACAGAATATTTTTCCTAGGTACAGAAACAACATCACTTGTAAAGAGGCCCATGGAACAGCCAAGTTGTATGCCTTTTTTTAAAAAAAAAAAATCTCAAAGATAAGCTGTTTTCAGTGTCTCAATATGATCACATGCACCTTCCTGCTGATTTCCGTGGGTACATGATCCTTTTCGTTTTCTATCAAAAGCCTTTTTTTACCTGGACTCTGTACATATGTAAATTAAAATATATATTATACGGTATATATAAATATATATAAATATATATATATATATATTTAAAACAAAAACTACTGCATGTCAAGTTAGTGGTTGTCATGCAAAAGACTTGTTAGATGTTTGATACCAATGTTTTGCTACAGTGAGTTGGCCGCAGAAACACGTCCTCTGGGCTGCTTCCCCACAGATCAATTTTGTATTTCAGTATTATTATATGTACTTTTTGGTCAGATTTGTTTAATCTTTATAAATAGAACCGCAAATGAATAATAATAAAAAATGATGGAAAAGTTTCATTTTGGAAGTTGAGTGATTTGATTGCATTTCTGTGCCGTTTCCCATTCAAATGAATCCCAAAGCGGCTCACAAACAATAAATAACATGACAGAGCGTCACAAGGGCAGCATAAATCACATCATATAATTAACAAACCATCAGTAAAACAATCACAATCTATTAAGTACTGTTAGCAAACCAGCAGCTAAAGAATAAGCGAAACATCACAATTACAGCGTGAGTCAGATGACTGACAAATCAATAAGGCATTCATACCTTAGAAGGCAATATTAAAAAAATAACAACTAAAAAATAAGTTGGACAATATGAAGTTCACACACACTTCCCCAGCGATTCATAATCTTTCACCCTGTTCAGTTCCTTAAAATATACATGCACATCCATCAAGCCAGAGGACATTGATCTAACAGAAACACCTGCAACAGAGCTATACTTAAACTTGTTAGTTAACTTAAACCCACGTCCCATCTTATAAACTAAGCGTGCAACCCTATAGCTTGCTTACTTTGAAGTAAAAGAAGGCTGCTTTTTTCCCCCAGTTGGAACTCACCAGAACTCACCACCTCTCAGGTGGTCACTGCTGCCATTATAAGAGAACGAGGGAGGTGTCCATGGTGAGTTGGGGTACCTCTTTTTCTAGAAAAATAGTGCTGAGTGAGAATTAAAGGTAAAGGGACCCCTGACCATTAGGTCCAGTCATGGCCAACTCTGGGGTTGCGACGCTCATCTCGCTCTATAGGCCGAGGGAGCCGGCGTTTGTCCACAGACAGCCTCCAGGTCATGTGGCCAGCTGACTAAGCCACTTCTGGCGAACCAGAGCAGCGCATGGATACGCCGTTTACCTTCCCGCCAGAGCGGTACCTATTTATCTACTTGCACTTTGACGTGCTTTCAAACTGCTAGTTGGCAGGAGCAGGGACCGAGCAATGGGAGCTCAACCCCTCCGGGGATTCGAACCACCGACCTTCTGATCGGCAAGCCCTAGGCTCTGTGGTTTAACCCACAGCGCCACCCATGTGTGTTGTATTGGGGGTGGACTTGTTCAGCTGAGTTATTTTCTAGGTGAGTTTCCGGGGCAGACGAGTCAGTGGTGGGTGGGACTATAAACAGAAGTGGGTGGAGTAAGGATTGTGAATTTTACCACACATTCTCTATCCCCCATTCAAACAAGAAAAAGGCATTATTGGAGTTCAAGGATATAGCCAAGTGAGGCCAAAAAAATCAAGAAGGATACAAAGCAGGACCTGTGAGGTATGGGCCAGGGAGGGTTCTGAGGGCCAGACAGAGATGCTTGGAGGGCCACAATTGCCTCGCCTGGTTTACACACACACACACACACACACACACACACACACTTCAGCCATTTAAACTAAGCATCCAAACACTGAGCCAGCATAAAAGAAAATCCCACTCAGTTAAATGGAGCAGCTTCTTGACAGTCGTATATAAGCAGCTATTGAACTTCATCTCCTTTTTGGATGGTGAGCTGATTATTGAGACCTGGACTTAAGAAAGCTTAAGGTGCCTTAATGCCCGGGATCAGCTCCAAATTCCTAACACACCTGTGGGCTTATAAAGGGGGCAAGCAGCCCTTCGAGGGAGTCGATTGCTTGCTCAGCCTCACCCGATCTCCGTCCCCAATAGAAGAAATGCAAGTTTCAAACGCTTCATGGGTTGAGGTGAGAAACAGGACCCCAGGCCCTTTTGAGGGGCCGCAATGGCCCAACCTGGCCCCACAGAGCACCTACATATCAGTGGCTGTCCTCATGGGGCTGGTGGTCATCTCGGCCACCTTGGCGAATGGCTTGGTGATTGTGGTCTCTGTCCAGTTCAAGAAGCTCCGCTCTCCTTTGAACTACGTCCTGGTGAACCTGGCCGTGGCTGATCTCTTGGTCACCTTCTTTGGGAGCACCATCAGCTTCGTAAACAACGCCCGCGGCTTCTTTATCTTTGGCCAGGCGACCTGCGAATTTGAAGGCTTCATGGTCTCCTTAACAGGTAGGGAGATGACCCTGGTGGCCCTTTGGTTTCCTTTGAAAAGCAGTTATCAGACCTTGCATTTACCGTATTTTTCGCTCCATAAGACGCACCTAGTTTTTAGAGGAGGAAAAGAAGAAAAAGAATATTTTGAACGAAACAGTGGATGTATGATTTTTGTGGTTCTTGCTGCGGCCACAGACATGTGATCTGATGGTGAATTTGGGGTGACCCAATGCAAAAATCCTGACGATCCATGTGGACCTGTTCTTTGTAACCACATTTTTGCACCACTGCAGCCACAGGAAACAGTGGATGCGTGATTTTTTTGGTGCAGTCTGTAGCCATGGACATGCTATGTGATCTGATGGTGAATTTGGGGCAACCCAATGTAAAAATCCTGAGGATCCATGGGCTTTTACCTCCCCCCCTCCCAGGCAGCCTTTGCTAGTGTCCCTTATCTCTCTTCCAATCCCACCGATCAGCTGTTTCCTTTCAACACTCCCTTCCCTCTTGTTTGCCTTAGTGTCTTTTCCTTAGCTGGAGCAGTTTTTTGCTCCTCCTTTTCTTCTAATTTCTCTCCTTATTGCTTTAGTCTTCCTGTTTACCCCCTTTGCAAGTTTGCTGTCTTTACCTCCCCGCTCCCAGGCAGCCTCCTTTATCTCTAGCGTCCCTTATCTCTCTCCCCAATCGGCAAACAATCAGCGGCTTTATTTCAACACCCACTTCCCTCTTTCAAAAAATAAAGCATGATCTGCTTTTTGCCCCTGGGCAATTCAGCTCCAGGGACCACGTATTCGCTCCATAAGACGCACAGACATTCCCCCTTACTTTTTAGGAAGAAAAAAGTGCATCTTATGGAGCGAAAATTACGGTATGTGCTACTGTTGAAACATTCAGAGCGCATTGTGCGTCGCACATCTCCATAATCTGCACAACAGTTGCATTTTCATGCCAGTGTTATGATACTCATATTGCAGGTTGGTTGGGTGGGAAGGGATGCCTGAAGCAGAGGAAGTCAGAGTTGGCCTACAAACACAATGGGATATCGGGAAGGGCCCAACTTAGAAGTGGAACATCTGCTTTTCATGCAGAAGGCCCTGGGTTCAATCCCTGGCATCTCCAGGAAAAGTTAGGAATTTTACCCTTTCTGAAATCCTAGAGGGAGCTGATGCCAGCGAGTGTGATCAATACACAGTCTCCACCCCCATCGTTCTGCCCAGACACTGAGATCCAGCGCCGAGGGCCTTCTGGCGGTTCCCTCATTGCGAGAAGTGAGGTTACAGGGAACCAGACAGAGGGCCTTCTCGGTGGTGGCGCCCGCCCTGTGGAACGCCCTCCCACCAGATGTCAAGGAAATAAGTAGCTATCTTATCTTTAAAAGACATCTGAAGGCAGCTCTGTTTAGGGAAGTTTTTAATATTTAACGCTGTTCTGTTTTTAACACTTGATTGGGAGCCGCCCAGAGTGGCTGTGGAAACTCAGCCAGGTGGGCGGGGTATAAATATATTATTATTATTATTATTATTATTATTATTACTGAGTTAGATGGGTTCAAGGAAGATGGATCAAGCTGCCATCCAGGAAAGCAGGTTCCTACATTCCTCTTTAAACCAGCCCTTAATTCAGAACCCCAAGGACTGGAACCCTGCTTCATATTTAGAAGACCTTTGTGTCTCAGTGGCAGAGCATGCAGAAGGTCCCAGGTTTAATCCCCAATGGAATCTCCAGTTGGGGCTGGGAGAGAATGCTGTCTGAAACCCTGGCAAGCTGCTGCCAGTCAGGGTAGACAATACTGAGCTAGATGGACCAAGTGTATGATTCAGTATAAAGCAACTTCTTTTTTATTTTTCGAAAGCTCAGCAACCTTGATTTTTTTTAAAAAAGAAAAATGGATAGCGCCATAGTTTCCCATGAGTAAATGCCATTTTTTTGCTGCTATCTGATCATTTAGAAAACTCTAGCCATTTTTGCCCCTTCATGGATCACTGCCTTGTAAGGAAATCAGCCTTGAGTGCTCACTGGAAGGACAGATCCTGAAGCTGAGGCTCCAAGACTTTGGCCACCTCATGAGAAGAGAAGACTCCCTGGAAAAGACCCTGATGTTGGGAAAGATGGAGGGCACAAGGAGAAGGGGACGACGGAGGACGAGATGGTTGGACAGTGTTCTCGAAGCTACCAGCATGAGTTTGACCAAACTGCGGGAGGCAGTGGAAGACAGGAGGGCCTGGCGTGCTCTGGTCCATGGGGTCACGAAGAATCGGACACGACTAAACAACTAAACAACAACAAGCCATTTTTGAGATGGTGCTCTAGTTATTCCCCTTCTCTGTGGTCAACCTCTCCTCTCTAGCCCTTCTTTTTCCAACTAGCATAGGCTGGTCCATTAGGGCAAATAGGGCACTGCCTCACCACCCTCATTCTCAGCTCAGCCAAGCCCAACCTCTCTGCCATCTTACTTACAACCAGCCCAGAGGGTGGCACTGCCCATCAGCTTCCTCCTCCTCCTTAGTTTCAGCATTGCCCTTGCAGAGAGGAGGAGGATGGGAACAAAACTTGAATTGCTTGGCTCTGGCGCCACCTGCTGTTGGGCTCCCTGCCTGTTGCCCTACCATTTCCAATGGGCACCGGTCAACCCTGAGTTTATGTTGTGAATAAAACCTGCATTTTTCAAAGGAAACGCACAAAAGCTGTGCCCGCTATGTTTGGCTCTGTTCATCCCTGAGCTCTTCTCGAGGATGGGACTACGTGGGGCTACCTCTGAAGGTGGCCCGGAAACTACAACTAATCCAGAACGCGGCAGCCAGACTGGTGACTGGGGGCGGCCACCGAGACCATATAACACCGGTCCTGAAAGACCTACATTGGCTCCCAGTACGTTTCCGAGCACAATTCAAAGTGTTGGTGCTGACCTTGAAAGCCCTAAACGGTCTCGATCCAGTATATCTGAAGGAGCGTCTCCACCCCCATCGTTTTACCCAGACACTTGGGTCCAGCACCGAACGCCTTCTGGCGGTTCCCTCCCTGCGAGAAGCCAAGTTACAGGGAACCAGGCAGAGGGCCTTCTCAGTAGTGGCACCCGCCCTGTGGAACGCCCTCCCACCAGATGTCAAAGAGAACAATAACTACCAGACTTTTAGAAGACATCTGAAGGCAGCCCTGTTTAGGGAAGCTTTTAATGTTTGATGTATTACAGTATTTTAATATTTTTTGGAAGCCGCCCAGAGTGGCTGGGGAAGCCCAGCCAGATGGGCGGGGTATAAAGAATAAATTATTATTATTATTATTATTATTATTATTATTATTATTATTATTATTATTATTGACGTATTCTCTGTTGCTCTAGAAGGCATGACTAGAACCAAGGTGGAAGCAGATATCGGCTAAAACTTTGGAGACACTGCCTGATGGGAAGAGCATCATAACAGGGGAGCTGAACTGTCCCAGGAGCTGGTGGTGAACTCTCTGCAGCTGGAGGTCTTTCAGCAGAGTTGGGTCAGCTACCTGCCAGGGATGCTGCAGGTGCCAGACTCCTGCATTGAATAGGGCTTGGACTGGATGGCCGCTGAGGCATCCCCCCAACCCTAAAATTCTAGGTTCATCTCTTCTTCTTTTTTCCAGGGATTGTGGGTCTTTGGTCCTTGGCGATCCTGGCCTTTGAGAGGTATCTCGTGATCTGCAAACCAGTGGGCGATTTCCGCTTCCAGAAAAGGCATGCGGTGCTTGGTTGTGCTTTCACTTGGGGGTGGTCGTTCATCTGGACGGTCCCACCACTCCTCGGCTGGAGCAGCTACGTCCCTGAAGGTTTGTTGACAGGGGACTTTAGGAAGCCGCCGCCTTATGCCGTCTCAGACTGTTTGACTATCTAGCCCTGATCATATATATATATATATATATATATATATATATATATATATGGACATGGGTGGAGCTGTGGATAAGTGCCTAGGGCTTGCCGATCGAAAGGTCGGCGGTTCGAATCCCCGCAGTGGGGTGCACTCCCGTGGTTCGGTCCCAGCGCCTGCCAACCTAGCAGTTCGAAAGCACTCCCGGGTGCAAGTAGATAAATAGGGACCGCTTACTAGCGGGAAGGTAAACGGCATTTCCGTGTGCGGCTCTGGCTCGCCAGATGCAGCGATGTCACGCTGGCCACGTGACCCGGAAGTGTCTCCGGACAGCGCTGGCCCCCGGCCTCTTGAGTGAGATGGGCGCACAACCCTAGAGTCTGTCAAGACTGGCCCGTACGGGCAGGGGTACCTTTACCTTTACACACACACACACACACACACACACACATATATATATATATATATATATATATAAATATTTTATTAAGTTTTCCATTTTTATCATATTCACATATCCTACAATACAGTACAAACACTCAAGAGTTTTCTCCCTTCCTCGAACCCTAGGCTTGAGAACATCCTGCGGCCCCAACTGGTACAGCGGCGGAAGCAGCAACAACAGCTACATCATGACTTTGTTTGTGACCTGCTTTGCAATGCCTCTCAGCACAATCCTCTTCTCCTACGCCAACTTGCTCATGACGCTGCGAACCGTGAGTACCGGGCAGAGTTGTGCTTGTGCGTGCCCTGTGCCGCTTCGAGCGCATCGCTGTAGACGGCCAGGGGCAGCTAGCGGTCCCTCGACGCTTCCCTGATCCTTCCCGCAGGTGGCGGCTCAGCAGAAAGAGCAGGTGACAACTCAGAGGGCCGAGAGGGAGGTGACGCGAATGGTTGTCGCCATGGTGGCTGCCTTCCTCGTCTGCTGGCTGCCCTACGCCAGTTTCGCCATGGTGGTCGCCACCCACAAGGACCTCGCCATACGGCCAGCGCTCGCTTCCCTGCCGTCGTATTTTTCCAAGACGGCGACAGTGTACAACCCCATCATCTATGTCTTCATGAACAAGCAGGTATGCACCCAAGGGGAAATTAAATGATTGTGGGGAGGGCCATTTATTAGCCAGACTCATTTGTGGTCCTTTTTAAGGGCAATTCTGTAGACTGGAAAACATCTATGCACTGTGAGTCCATCAACCAATCTCTTTATCATGGTCAAGGACTAATATTCAGCGCCCTGTAAGTCATCACAGAGGGTTTCTACCATGGCAGCGGACTACGTATGTCAGGGTTGGGGAACTTTTCTCAGGCTCAGAGCCAAACTAGCTCATAAGGAAACTTCCAGGTCTGCCTTCCAGTAATAGTAGTAGTAGTAATTTATTTGTACCCTGCCCATCTGACTGGGTTGCCCTGGCCGCTCTGGGCAGATTCCAGCACACACAAAACATAACAAAACATTAAACACAAAAACTTCCCTATACATGCCCGCCTTCAGATGTCTGCCAAAGGTTGTATAGTTACTCATCTCCACAGGGTGGGCACCACTGCTGAGAAGGCCCTCTCCCGATGGTAGGTGGTAAACAAAGGTAAAGGGACCCCTGACCATTAGGTCCAGTCGTGGCCGACTCTGGAGTTGCGGAGCTCATCTCGCTTTATTGGCCGAGGGAGCCGGCGTACAGCTTCCGGGTCATGTGGCCAGCATGACTAAGCCGCTTCTGGCGAAACCAGAGCAGCACATGGAAACGCCGCTTACCTTCCTGCCGGAGCGGTACCTATTTATCTACTTGCACTTTGACGTGCTTTCGAACTGCTAGGTTGGCAGGAGCAGGGACCGAGCAACAGGAGCTCACCCTGTTGCAGGGATTCGAACCGCCAACCTTCTGATCGGCAAGTTCTAGGCTCTGTGGTTTAACCCACAGTGCCACCCCATAATGGTATGTGGGGACAGAGGCAAAAGTGGGCAGAACAATGGATGCAGCTCTTACCTTTCTGTACTGTAGGGCTACATTACAAGTTTAATTCTGAGGTTCCCATGTGCCCTTTTTTTTTTGGTTTGGAGAAATATGGAGGAACCTGAATTGTGATGGGTTTCAGGGTGTTCAAATTAAGAACATCCAAATTTTCATTTAACCAAATTTCTCCTCCATCTTTACGCACTGCAACAAACTGCTCATTTGGACCCACCCCGGTTCTGCAGGCAAATGTGATAGTGACCCTGTCAATTCTCCCTTCTCGCCTTCAGTTCCGCAGTTGCCTCCTCTACACGATGAGCTGTGGCCACAGACCATTATCTTCCCAGGACACGACACCGGCTGGGATCAGCCTCCCAGGCCGCCTCACCACCTCAGCTTCTGAAGGAAGCAGGAATCAAGTGTCACCTTCCTAACGATGCAGAAGAGCAGGACCTGCTGCCACTGCCGCCTTTGAACGTGGCTCTCGTTTCCGTTCTCTAAGTTGCCTTGTTAAAAGTGCAAAATCTGGGAAATGGAATCCCACAGAAGTCAGTACCTTTTTATTAGAGGCACATCTGATGGATAGAGACAAATCTGTGAACTTGTTGGTGCCATGTCTTTTCTTCCTGCCCAGCTTGTGTCCTAAACTTTGCCCGTTTATAAACGTGAATTGGGCCCAGAAACTAATTGGCAGCCAGTGCAATTGGGTCAGGATAGGTGCAATATGCTCAAACTGCCTTGCTCCTCTCAAATAATCCTAGTAATTGTAACTTAGCTCTCACAGAGCTAGTTCCCAGTACCCTTAGATTCCTAGGATCCTTGGGAGGGAAGTCGTGTGCATGAAATGTGCTTTAGATATATGGTGCACACGTGATTAATGTTAGAACAACAACAAAAGCCTCCAGGGGTTGCTGGTCTTTTAACTCCCATCAGCCCCAGCCAACATGGTCAGCAGATGAGTCACAGTCCAGCAAGATCTGGAGGGCCGCAGGTCTGCAGCCCCAATCTCAGAGGATGACGCTGCCCTTTGGAAAAGCTCCAACTCTTTTCTCCGGCAGGCCAGTTAATCTTGCTACTAACACAACTGCTCCGCACACCTGTCCTTTTTCATCTTCTTCTGGCCACACTGCAGGGACCAGGAGTCGTGAACCCAATTTAACAGCCAACTGCATGATTTGCATTTTCTCCAACTGCTCTTGGGAAGAGATAAGTGTGTGTGTGTGTGTGTAAGTGAGTGAGTGAGAGAGTGCTGCCCATATAAAGACTCCCATCTTATCAGCACACCAGAGGAAAGGAAGAAATGAAAAACCGTCCGGTTCCTTTCGACCCTCTCAAGGCTTACTTACGCCATCAAAATATCTTGCACCTGAAATAAAATGTATTGCCCCTTTATTTTTGTTAGGTTAGGTTGTTGTCGTGTATGTGGTTTTTTTTTTTTAATTGCTTGGAAGTTATTTTTAACAGTGGTTACCCGGGGTGGAAGAGAAAAGCGGAGCGAAATAAATAAATAAGGAAATCAAAGCGAATCACTTTGCTTGAAGGGGCGTGGAAAACGTGTGGATTAAACATCTTTATTTAGCACAAAACAGACTGATGCTAGGATCCAAAGGCCTGTGTGCCAAGGTACTGCAGATACAGAGAGGGGTTGCCAACTTCCCTTTCTGGCTGCAGCTCCTGCGACCAACATAGACAGCAAGCACCATTAAGAGGCATTGCCTCTTGTAATTCCAGTTATAGATAGGTAGCCGTGTTCTCCTACTGGTTTCTCTGTCTTGTGTATGCCATCAAATGCCAACAGTGTCCTTCAGCTCTCTATATTGGACAAACAGGCCAAACCTTACACCAAAGAATAAACGGACATAAATCTGACATCAAGAATCACAAGACAGAGAAACCAGTAGGAGAACACTTCAATCTCCCAGGACATTCTATACAAGATCTCAAAGTAGCTGTTTTACTACAAAGGAATTTCAGAAATAGACTGGAAAGAGAAGCTGCTGAATTGCAACTCATTACCAAACTTAAAACCATGGAGAGACCTGGTCTGAACAAAGACATTGGATTCTTATCTCATTATACATGACAAAGCCATTTTTCACCTTCTCACCCCTTGCTTTTTCCTGTAAGACCTATTGCAGTCGTTAAGAGTCGTCAACAGGCTCATCACAGCTATCTGCCAATCACCCATTCCCACCACCCTTCTGAGTAATACCCCTCCCCACCTTCTCACTATATAGAAGGATCTGGCAACTTCTGTTTCAGTGTATCTGAAGAAATGTGCATGCACACGAAAGCTCATACCAAGAACTAACTTAGTTGGTCTTTAAGGTGCTACTGGAAGGAATTTTTTTGTATTGCCTCTTGTAAGCGATGCAGCAGTTACTCTGAAGAAGGGACTGCTGCAATGCACTCTGTGTGGGGCTTCCCTTGTGCTTGATCCAGAACCCATTGTTTGTGCAGAATGCTGTACCGCAATTGCTGGCAGGAGTGAGACCCTGTCAGCGTGGAACACTTTGCCTCAGAGGCCCGCACAGCTTGCTGATTTGCCACCAGGCCAAGGTGTTGTTTTTAGTACATATAAATTCCTGAAAAACTTGGGACCAGTTTACCTGGGGGATCAGTTCACCCAATATGCCCCCTCGACTGCCCTGCTCTCTGGAATGGGTACTGCAACACGCGCCACATAACACTCATTCTGCATTTGTAACAAATCAGTCTTTGAAATTTGAACCTCCCTTCCTATTGACATCAAAAACAATTTTTGTTTAGGCAAGCCTGTTCAGACATGTAGAATGTTGACACATGTTGTAAACTGGTTGCGTATTTTTAATAGTTTTAAAAGCTTTGAATAATTGATTAACGACAAACCTTGCAAGACGAATTGCCTAAAATCGCCTTGACGAAAGGTTTTCCGGAGCGTAGCAATCGATTTCCCTATGGGCTTGCTTGAAACTCTTCATTCATCCATTCATTTCCTTTTTAAAGCCGCTCGTTGAGCCGCTAACCGCTATAGCGTGTTCGCATGACAAAAAAACGCAAGAAGGACTTGCGGAACGGATTAATTTCGTCTTGGAGCACCCATGTAATTTATTATTCATTCATTTTTGTAAACGCTTGGCTGAGTGAAATCAGGGCGTATAAATGAATGAAGTACTTATAAAAACTGCAGCCATAAGCACCGCCTGAAGAGGCATGCTCTCAATGAGGGGAATGCCTGCTCTAAATGTCATCTGATGCACACAGACTCCGTCATCCGAGTTTTGTTTTTGCTGGGCAGAACCATTGCTTCTACTCACACGCAAACATATGCAGACTGAATAGTCGACTGATGGATCGACTGTCACTCATGACTGATGAACCATTTATTCAATTGGGTGGCAGCCCTAAAATCTGTGGTGTGATTCCAACTTTGAAAAATACCATATTTTTTGCTCTATAAGACTCACTTTTTCCCTCCTAAAAAGTAAGGGGAAATGTGTGTGCATCTTATGGAGCGAATGCAGGCTGCGCAGCTATCTCAGAAGCCAGAACAGCAAGAGGGATCGCTGCTTTCACTGCGCAGCGATCCCTCTTGCTGTTCTGGCTTCGGGATTCAGAATTTTTTTTTTCTTGCTTTTCTCCTCCAAAAACTAGGTGCGTCTTATGGTCTAGTGCGTCTTATAGAGCGAAAAATATGGTGCCTTGCGCAAACAAATAGACTGAATTATCAGTCTGGTCCTTATCTCCATGCTTCGCCTATCTTTCACATCTGTTTTTAAACGTAGCATGTGTACATTTTCATGCATGTATGCAGCCATCCTGGACCATTTTTAAAAAAATAATAATGCAGGAAATATTTTTGGGGGTGAGGGAACCATGCTGTCAACATCACAGGCACTAGCCAATTGGTGCCTTTGAAAGCTGACTTCCCCTACATGATGAGAAGACGAGGAAACAATAAGAATGCTATTATTTGCTCCCCACCCATCGGACTGGGTTGCCCCAATCACTCGGGGCGGCTTCCAGCATATACAAAAATATAATAAAACATTAAAAGCTTCTCTGTACAGGGCTGCCTTCAGACGTCTTCTAAAGGTTGTATAGTTACTTATCTCCTTGACAACTGATGGAGTTTCTCCACTGAGAAAAGAATACATTTGGGTTGACTGCAGAAGGCATGTCTCTTTCCCTGTTCTATAGCTCTTCTTCTGCCCTCACTTTGCTAGGTAGGAAAACAGGAAGTGAGCATGAAGGGTAAGTGAGGACAATAATTCATCACTTGCCATTCATGGTCTAGGGCAGGATGCCCTGCGCTTCCTGTTGAGCCTGCCTCCCATGAACACCTGAACCCAAACAGATTGATATTAAGTGACAAGTGGGAGCTAATTGCACTGACGGGTCCATGCTGAGCGTAATTATCCAGAGAGGAGTTTGCTGCAAATCAATTAATTAAGAGTGCCTTTCCCCTTTTTAAAGCCATGCTTGCGCTCCCACCCACTCCCCCTGATGCCACCGGTCGCTTCGTTTTCTCCCAATTAATACAATTCATCTGCTTTTTGTTTACAACCATCAGGACTTAATCCAATTAATTAAATGTTAAGCAGCGCTCCGTTGACTATCACTAGAGGAAAAGAAGGGGAGGGGGGTCAAATTGCAAAGAGCAACAAAAAGAGAATTTGTCACTAATAATTTGCAAAGTGAGGAAGTGATGCTTTCTGCTGCTTGTTGACTCTCTGTGTGCTGACACATGCTGGGTATGCAAGTTTGGTGGGGAAGCATTTGCCTTCCATAGAACACAGAGTGACGCTTATGAAAGAGGCAGAATATTGCCCCATCTAGCTCAGTATAGTCCAAACAATTTTTCTCCCCATATAATTTTTAATTAGTTTTTTCCCTTTTATAAACACAACAAATCCAACCTTACAATAACAAATATACTCCGTAGTATAATCCGAACTAGTGGTTCTCAGACGGTGCAGCAGGAGACAATGGCAAGTGTTGCGGGAAGATTCAAAGAAACTTCAGAATGTTCCCACTGGTAAGAAGTTTTAAGACAAGCAATGAATTTTGCAGCCTCGTACAGGGACATGTTGCAACACTGGTGGAAAAAGATTTGATAATTACTTCCCACCGTCGTCTACAGAAAACTTTGACCGGGTTAGAGATCCCTTTTCGAACTGCAGCTGTTCAAGGCTGACATTGAATGAAGAGGAGGAAATGACCTGCATTTTGAATGTTCACACCTTGAAAATGAAACACAGGAGTATGACCCTGGACTCCTTTTTTGGGTATGCAACCAGAAACAGTATCCCCACTTCTCTTCAAGAGCATTGGCTATTCTTCCACAGTTGCCCATCACATATTGTTGTGAACAGGGATTTTCTACTCTGGCAAATATGAAAGATCAGAAAAGAGAAAGGCTTAATTGTGTTGATGAGTTTGTCTCAATTTAGAC